GTTGGCATGTACACATTTTACAACTCATTTAACTTCGGTTTAAGCCTATAATCGGCTAAACCTTAACTCTGATACCTTTAAATGTAACACTCCCAACCCGTATCCAACCCGGATCAGAGTCTGAGGTGTCACATCAACTTTTAAACCTTTACTTGTTCAAAATAATGAAAAATCACCGTTAAAGAAAACTTCATATTATTTCAAAATAAAAGTTTTCACACTTATCAGAGCATATACAATTCAAATTGTTTATATGACATGCCAACTACATCTAATAGAATAAAATATATATCAAACATTTCTTTTCTGATCTGAACTTTGTAAGAAAGATACTGACCTGTCTTGCTCCTCTCAGCTTCTATATTCACTTTCTATAACCTGCGTGTGAAACACTCACACGCTAAGTCGATGACTTAGTGAGGCATAAAAAACACATCTAATAAAATTCATATACACTAATCATGCATGACTATTTTATGCTATCCAATCATGCAACTCATATACTTTTTCCATATAATAATTACATACTTGCGCACATACATGTCATACAATTCTTATCACACATCATATACATATATTACATGCATTGTTTTCACAATTATCTCTTTATTAGCCCATGTACACATTTGAGAACTATAGATATGTGAGTCTATAGAGGTTGTGCACTAATGTTATCACCACAGCTTGTATAAATGCATCGAAGTGCCACGTAGAATTGAACCATAATGCCGCGTAGAAATGCACCGAAGTGCTATATAAGGTTGTCCCTAAGGACCACGTAGCAAATTCCTTAAGAATCATATACATATGACAATGATCAAATACGTGTCTCAAAAGACCTCACACATGTTCTAAAGAATACATATATGTCCCGAATGACCGCGTAGACCCTCGACTCTTGGCATGCCAACTATACCCCTAGCTCTCATGTCACATAACATGGGCATTAATATTTATGTTAGCATACATTCACATATACACATAGCCACATAGTTCTTTCACATAGGTCATTGTCATATAAATCACATATCACATATACATATAAACACACGGTTCACTTACGCGTAGAACATTTTCATATGATTCACATATCACAGAGCTTATCACATATAATTGTATTCTTTTTCATATAATCACATAGTCATATAATATTTCATATGACATATACTTTCTCTTTCATATATCTCATGTCACGTATCATATCTTGTGATCATGTAATCATGTTACTTATAATCACATAACTCTACTCATAGGGTTCAACATCACTAAACTTAGTTCACTTTCCATATTATCATACATTTATATAATCTTATATGTCCTATCATTAACCTATAAACTTACTCATATACTCATATATACTCTTTAATATAATTTGTATAGTAATGCTCTATAATTGTATCATATACTGAGTTTACCTAAGTCTTCCTTTATAAAATTTATACTACCAGTTCAAATAGTCTCATTCTATCATATACATAGTTTCTACTTATCTTATCTCACTTCCTCTTTCACTCACATAAATCATCTATATACTAGTTTTATCTATTTATTTAGTTCAATTTCCATGACTTCTATAATACTCTTTCATAAAGTTTTGTAATTCTTCACTTTATAACTCATAACCCGTAGTTTCCTTTAAGTATATAAATCTTCCCTATATAACTTATGTATCATTATTTATGTTTATGCCCTCAAATTTATATTATCCTCATAGAGTCTCTTAACCTTTCTCGTGTAATCACTTATACCATAGAATATGACTTATACTTGGTTATCTTATGTTCACACACACACACACACACACACACACACACACACACACATATATATATATATATCAATGATTCATTAACATATAGCTTATGTCACATGTTCATTTCATTTTTTTATGTCTTTGTCATATAACTTATTTCATGTTCTTCCATTATTACATAATAATGTTTTACACAAATCATATAGCATATACAAAGCATATTAATATCTTTAGTCATGCATACATACATACAAACAATTAATGTAATACATATAACCACATATAGCACATATAATCATAACAACCACATAATCATGTTCATGACTTCATGCATATTACTCTAGGAAATAGACTCATCGCAAGTCTTATTTCCATTAAACACTACAGGTCACTAGTATGCACTCACATGTATTTCTTTGTTTTCCCCCCGATCAATCTTATTGGGTAATTGTTATGGAACTTGTTTAAGCTCTAAATCTACATAGTAATATATTGATACATATCAGTATACTAATTAATATATTCTAAACTATCGATTCTTAGGCTAAAAGAAAGTTATTTTCATCTTTTAATAAAGGTATGCATCGATGCACTCTACAGTGTATCGATGCATTCCTTAACGTGTGCATCGATGCACTACCTGTGCATCGGTACACAAATCACCTTCGATATTTTATTCTTAAGGGGATGCATCGATGCACTAATTGCATTCGTTGTTCATTTATTTGAGAGTGCATCGGTACACAATGAATGTGCATCGATGCATACAACCCAGAAATTCCAGTTAGAGCACGAAATTCACTTTCTTTTTAGCTTAACTCTTCATATTTCATCCCCTTTTACATTCTTAACTCACATACACATATTCAAACTCATTTCTATTCATTAATAACCTCTTTAACATCAAAATCCTATTCTCCATATGTAATTCAAGAATTACACTAAATTTTCAACATGTTCCAAATTCAATTCTATTGTTTCTAACTTCTTAATTAGACCCTTAAAAAGTCAAATTTGGTCTGAAAATCCCATAAATGTCTTTCTACCAAGATTTCATTTATTCACTTCTTTCCTTTAATCCTTTCTATATCTTTCCTCTTATTAGCTTCCCTTAAGCTTAAGAGTCACTTGATAATCAAAACCAAACTTAAAATTCAACAAGAAATCAATTAACCAGAAACTCACCTTTGCTCTTGGCTTCCACGTGAAGAAGAAAAAAATAAAAGAGAAGAAGAGAACTCTTGAGAAATCTCTCCCTTTCCACGTGGTTCCCTTATCTTATAAAGGAAAATAAAAATCTTACTTGTCAATTGACCATTTTACCCTTTAATTCATTCAATAATTACTAAACAACCTTCAACTATATTTCCAATAAGTCATTAAACTATTAAACTATTAAACTATTCTACTTTTATCACCAAATTTCACAAATTCTCATTTTAGTCACTGACCCGGATTTCGGGATGTTACAAGTATATATAACCCCACGGTATAGCTCTAACCAATAGTGATAGTTTTCTCATGTCGTTTAATTTTAATTTACGGTTTGTCAATGATTTTTTAAAAGTTTAATTTTTTTGTTCGTTTACCATGTGATTAGATATATTCGTATATATCTCAGATATGTTCGTATCTATATGTTATTCGAGTTTATTTTGTTAGGTTTTTTAATATTTTCCTTTTACATAATCATTGTGTGATCTTAAGTGACTAGTTTATTGTGTAGTTCTCAGTTGTAGTTTCATTGTAATTTAATTTGGATATTTTTCAATTTTTAATAAAACTAACGACTTCTATCTTATAAAATAAAAAACTTAATGATACCAATACATTAATTGATTAATGTAATATTTATAATCTCATTAATTATTCAAATGTTTACTTAATATAAATATTAATTTGATTTTTTTTCTAAATTCAAATTCCAAATTAAAGAAACCTCAAATCGTAATCTAGTGATTACTTCTATAATTAAAAAAAATTAACTATTAGAAATTTAACTAAAAAGTTAAAGTCATATACTAATTTATATATGGGTAAACTACAAGAATGATAACTTACCTTTTGTATTTGTAAACTTTTGCTCACCGAATTCAAAAACCATAAGTTTTGGTCACTTACGTTATCATTTTATTAAGTTTTGGTCACTGGAACATTGAATGTCGTTAGTTTGATGACATGACGAGTTAGTAAAAGGGTTTGATTTTTATTTTAATCCCTACACTTTAGAAAAATACTAATTATGAGACTTTTGTAAAATCTAAAATAATTTAGGACGAAAATGCTCGTATTGTTCATCTTCTCCAGATGCCTTCATCAACGTTTCCTCTTCTTGTTCTTGGGGAGCTAGCCTGATAACTTTCTTCTTCTTTTTTCCTTCCTTTTCACATTCTTTCATCCTCTTCTTGTTCTAATGGAAATGTTTAGTAATTTTGTAGATTTATGATTTATGTATCAAGGCTATAAATTGTGGTCTAGGTCTTTATTGTGAGAACTGAGAAATGTCATGTTTTTAGTAAACATGGTGCAAGTTTGTTTCCTTTTTGGTAAGCGAACTCTTTGCTTCCATTTGTGTGTGTTATTTGGTGGTTGGTTTTAAAAATTCTCTATATGTATGTGTTTTCATTCGACTCTGCCATTCATCTGGAGGGCAATGTTTCACACAAACCCCTTTGTAATATAACTTATGTTCCGGTGGAAGATAAGTCTACACTTACCGCTAGATGCAAGGAAATTAGCAACCGAAATAATCCAGTGCGTTCAATCGGCGACGGAGAATATGAACAACACGAGAAATTTCGTCCTAAACTATTTTAGATTTACAAAAGGCCCATAATTAGTATTTTTCTAAAGTGTAGGGGCTAAAATAAAAATTAAATCCTTTTACTAACGCGTCATGTCATCAAATTAACAACATTTCAATGTCCCAATGATCAAAACTTAATAAAATGATAATAAAAGTGACTAAAACTTATAGTTTTTGAATTTGGTGAGCAAAAGTTTACAAATACAAAAGGTAAGTGATCATTATTGTAGTTTACCCTTTATATATTAAGCCAACTTTATATCTTACTTAACACATATTCTTACAATTCTCAGCAAACCACGTACTCAAGAAAAATAAATGGCGTTTGATTTCCGGGGAAGTGCAAGAAAGTATTCGCTTTTTTCTTTGTAGGGTACAACAAAGAAAACGGCTAAATAAATGGTTTAATTACTATTTTTCTCTCTCTCGAATAAAATAAATAGGAATATAATGTAACGAAAATTGAAGAAGAAGAAGAAGAAGAACTCTTCTCCTACTTAAGCTCCTAAAAAGCCTGAGGAAAAGAAACCATCACCTCAGGTTCTCTAATTTTCCTTCATGCATCACAAAAATCATTTCTTTTAATTTTTTTTACTTTAACATCCAAATTCTGATGCTAAATTCTCTATAATCCTTAATATCAACGATCATTAAGAAATTCTGTGTTTCAATTATAGTTCAATTTCTTCTTTATTGCAACTTCTGAAGAATTGAATTATCTTTAAAAAAGCAACTTTTTTCTCTCTCATTTTTATCAAATTCCCAGGAAAAAAATTGCTTTTTTTTTAATTTGAAGAATCATAATCAAAATCTGATGAGAAGTTTATTCACGATCGGGCTAATAGCAGCATGGTACTCCTCGAACATTGGGGTCTTGTTATTGAACAAGTTCTTGCTAAGCAATTATGGGTTCAAGTACCCGATTTTCCTCACGTTATGCCACATGTTGGCATGTTCTTTGCTGAGTTACATCGCCGTTGAATGGCTCAAAATAGCTCCTCTGCAAAGGGTAAGGTCGCGGTTGCAGATGCTGAAGATATCCGCCTTGGGGATCATCTTTTGTTTATCCGTTGTCGGCGGGAACATTTCGCTTAGATACCTTCCCGTTTCGTTCAACCAGGCCGTCGGTGCCACCACGCCGTTCTTCACGGCGGTTTTCGCGGTAGTGATGACCGGCAAGAGAGAAGGTTGGGTTACGTATGTCACCCTTATCCCTGTTGTCACCGGTGTAATTATTGCAAGCGGGGTAAGCCTTTAAGATTTTGATCAATACTTGGATTTGTTTACGTAAATTTTCAAAAGACGTGCCATTAACTGATTTGGTTGTTGTGAAAATGAATGGATGAAGGGAGAACCATTGTTTCATCTGTTTGGATTTATAATGTGCATTGGTGCCACAGCTGCAAGAGCTCTTAAATCAGTGCTTCAAGGGATTTTGTTGTCTTCTGAAGGGTAAGGGACCTACATTGATGTGTTTAGTGTCGCTTTTGAAATGAAACCGACGATGATGGTTAATGTTCTTAGGGAAAAGCTCAACTCCATGAACTTGCTAATGTACATGGCACCTATAGCTGTCATAGTCCTTTTCCCAGCAGCTATTTACATGGAACAAGATGTGACTGGAATCACTGTTGCACTTGCAAGAGATGATTGGAAGTTCTTATTGTATCTCCTCTTCAATTCTGCCCTTGCATATTTTGTCAACTTGGCTAATTTCTTGGTCACCAAGCATACCAGTCCCTTGACTCTCCAGGTAAAATTACTTTTGCTGCCATTAATGTAAGTGTAATCCTAAGCATGGTGGTTGTTGCAGGTGTTGGGAAATGCGAAAGGGGCGGTGGCCGTGGTTATATCGATCTTGATATTCAAAAACCCAGTATCAGTTACAGGGATGCTGGGGTACTCTCTCACGGTAGCCGGGGTGGTTCTCTACACTGAAGCCAAGAAACGCAATATGTAATAATAAGGGCATTTAGCAGGGAGACAATTCCACCAAATGTTGTGTGTTTTAGTGTGGGATGAGGATGTTTAAACAATCATCAATTCAGGCTATGTTAAGTTGTCCCTCTTTTTGCAGAGATACCAAGTAGAAGAATTGCAGTTTTATTGAACACGTCTTCTCTTTTATGGAGAATTCGGCTCAAATTTCTTACTAGATTTGCCTTTCCTTTTGGATCATCTCTCTTTCTCCCTCTCTATATAATATATACACAAAATGGATAAAGGGTGAACATGGAAAGACATTATAAAACTATTCAAATAAAAGAAAAAGACATTATAAAAATTAACATAGTCCACGTGGCCTACAATTAAAGCAACCCAATTTCAAATTCTTATTGGGCTTTAAGTCGACTAGTATATATGAGGTCCATATAACATGAAGGTTCACGAATGTCCCACAAAATATACAAAACTCAATACTTTGGAGTTTGGACAATGTACTCGAAACTGATTTAAAGACCGAACACTCGAAAAATCTTGTGAATGCTCGAAATATCCTATACTATTGCTATAAATAGCCCCTCTATGCTTCTCTAAATCCCCAGACAAAACAATCATACAATAGCTTTCTCTGTTTTCGTTGCTAACAAGGTTTCTCTTTCTGAGAATGTCTCTGATTCCAAGCTTCTTCGGCAACCGACGCAGCAATGTCTTCGATCCATTCTCGCTCGATGTTTGGGATCCTTTCAGGGACTTCACTTCCTCTTCCCTAATGACACCAAGTCCAGAAATCTCGTCCTTTGTGGACACACGGATCGACTGGAGAGAAACACCGGAAGCTCATGTGTTCAAGGCCGATGTTCCGGGGCTCAAAATAGAAGAAGTGAAGGTGGAGGTGGAGGATGACAGGGTGTTGCAGATAAGTGGGGAGAGGAACGTGGAGAAGGAAGACAAGAATGACACGTGGCACCGCGTGGAACGGAGCAGTGGGAAGTTCATGAGGAGGTTCAGGCTGCCCGAGAATGCCAAGATGGATCAGATCAAGGCTGCCATGGAAAACGGTGTGCTTACTGTCACTGTTCCGAAGATGGAAGTGAAAAAGCCTGACGTTAAAGCCATTGATATTTCTGGCTAAAAACTTAAACTTGGAACCACAGATTACTTTGTTGCAAAGTGTCAGGAAATGAAATGAGTGGCTTTATGCTTTGTCCGATGAGAGAGTAATAGTATGTATGAATCTACAAATCTACCTATAATGTTTGTGCAGTATCAGGTGTGTAAAGTGAAGTTGTCAAAACTTTACTGCGCAGAAAATAAAAGAGTGATCTTGTTTATTCACATGTTTAATGTTCTTCTTGTATATAATACATGATGAGATCAATTACATAGATATGATCATAAAACAACACGTACGAACTTTAAATTTCAACCACAAGTTTTAAAATTCGTCTACATTTTAAATCTTTGTGATGCACCGAGAAAGTTCCCACTGCAGGTTTATATGTATAACATTTGGCAATTCCCAGTAAAACAACAAAACTCGCGACGCTTGGACCAGCCAACCACCAAAAGAAGTAAGCAACACGACCAAGATCAAGGTTATCGGCTATCCATCCCAGCTTCCCATGTTTAGCAGTAACAAAGGGGAGCTCAAGTAGCTTCCGAGAGCCAACTTATATATTGATTTTGAATTAATTACATGATTGATCACTTTCGTTTATGTTTTATCTATTTTTCTCACTAATTTTAAAAAAATATATATGATTATTTTTTTATTTAATTAAGATATGATTATTGAAGATTAATTATCGTTAAACTTTTAACGGATTATTAATATGAAACATTAATAAGAAGATGTAATTTTACTTTAACCCCTAAGCTATAGATAAAATTTAAATTATGAACTTCTTTTTACAAATTTAAAACAGTTTAGAGACAAATTTACAATTTATCCTTCTTTCAATATGTTTTTTTCCCTCTCTAAACCCTACTTCTCTAAATCATCATTAAGCCATAGTCTCTAATCACCGTTATTCTAGTCGTCTGTTACCACCCAAACACAATCAAAAACCTCCAACACCTAAACTAAGAAAACAACAACAAATATCAGCCAAACAAAATAGAGGGAAGAAAAATGAGGAAGATTACCATTGACTATGGTGAATTTCTGACGATTAGAGCGTCAGATTTTCAATCCCAACAGTGAAGAGGTCTTATTGGGGAGGACACTAAAATATTTCAAAATCGTAAAAATTCGACGGTGAATGACGGAGATCGAGAGATGAGAAGACAAAGAGTTTCAGCGTATATTTCTCAACACTATATCACTTTTTGGCGAAACTTAGGCTTGGTCCGCATTCAGGAGGCCAAGAGGAATATCCTGATGTGCTTTCTAGTTGAACGGTCACTGGAGATGACAACCGGAGCAGTGCAAGACGATCGTGATGTGGTGACAGACGGAGAACTATCGAGGCTTCTGAAAATATGTAGAGAAGGATCCATAATTAAATTTTATCTAAAGTTCAAGGACTAAAATAAAATTTAAACCCTTTTATTAACGTTTCATGTCAGTAATTCATAAAAGATCTAATGACAGTTAACTTTCAGTGACTATATTTTAATTAAATAAAAATAAAAGTGACTAAATGTTTTATTTTTTGAAATCAATAAAGTAAAATTAACAAAACATAAATGAAAGTGACCAATTCTATAATTAACCTATAAATTCTTTTTTCTCTAACTGTTATAAGTTACATATGATTATTGAAAATTGATTAAATTGATTTTTTCTCTTATAATGGATTGCATTCAATGTTTATAATAATAAAAGTCCGGGTATTTAAGATATCGTATTGAAACTACATATGAATAAAATACACACTGTGCTATAATACAGGGACTTGTATTCAAAATTTTCCATTATACCCATGCATACATAATTCGATCAGAGGCATTCTATAGGAGACATTAGTCTTCTTGGTTTATCCGTTCTCTTCTTCAAATAATACAAAAATGGCGACTTCAGCTGTAACAATCTCTTCTTCATTTTCCTCTCTTCTCCCTCCACAAAGCTCCCAACTTCCCTTTCCCTCTCTTCCAAATCCTCCTCTTCAAAACCCACCCTTTCCATTTCTTCCCAGCTTTCCACTCCCCCCATTTTATCCTTCACCGGTGAAAAGGTCGGCGAAACCAATCTCGGCCTCAAGTCCGCTCCACCCGAAACCGCCAGAGCCGTCATTCACCGAGCGATCATCACCGACCTACAAAACAAGCGTCGCGGTTCCGCCTCCACTTTCACCCGCAGCGAAGTTCGTGGTGGCGGGAAAAAGCCCTACCCCCAGAAGAAAACCGGACGGGCACGTCGTGGGTCTATGCGTACTCCGCTCCGTCCCGGAGCTGGTGTTATCTTCGGACCTAAATCCAGAGACTGGTCCATTAAAATCAACAAGAAGGAGAAAAGGTTGGCTATTTCAAAGGCATTATCCAGTGCGGCTGAGAACACGATAGTCGTGGAAGATTTCGGAGATAAATTCGAGAAGCCGAAGACCAAAGATTTCATTGAGGCGTTGAAGAGATGGGGATTGGACCCGAAGCAGAAATCTATGTTTTTGATGATGGATGTGCCGGAAAATGTGGATAAATCAAGTCGAAATATAGGGACTTGAGAATATTGACGCCGAGGACACTTAATTTGTTCGACATTTTGAATTGCGTTAATCTGGTGCTGACACCTGATACGGTGGACTATCTGAATGGAAGGTATGGAGAAGAGTACGAAGGCGAAGCTGAGGAAGAGGAGGAAGAAGAAGGTGCTGAAGGTAAATCTCTTTTCAATTAGTATTATTAGACAATTGTTGTTAGTAATGGTGCTATCATTGTCATCTTTATATGAACTTTTAGGAGATGATGGGTGGGATAGAAGAAGATGCATTTAGACATGTTTCGTTTCATTAGAATGTTTTTAGAAGGACTGGTAATCGGAAATGCAAGTGTAGAAATGATCTTTGTAGGTAGTTTAAGTGTACATGCAAATAGTAAGATGCAAAGAGAGTATTAATATGCTTATTCATCTTCGGTAAGAGCTAAGTTGGCGATGATGAATAAGGAATAATTGCTTGCCTGCATCGATATTTCTTGATCAGTTTGTATTTGTTAGCCTGCATAGATGAGAGCGTGCTAGAAGGAAAAAAGAATTCGTTTACCCTTTTCAGATGTTATCTTTGTTGTTGTTTCTTGTGTTAATCTATTGACATTTTCGAGGCAGATGAGAACGCCGATGAAGCGCAATGAGCTGTTTTTCCCTCGGTTAACCTACAAGCCATTTCGTATATGCTGAAGAAGTTCAATGCTTGGCCTAAATCAAACATTGTTGTAGGCTAGTTTTCTTGATCTATTTGTGTCTTTTCGCATGTTTACTAAGTTGTATCTATTTAGTTCATTAATGCAATATTCTCTTTAGGTTGAACCAGACATTGTTGTAAAACAAACACAATCTCTAATCAGCAAGATGTCAACTAATTTGATGTTTCAACCGTGTCAGGCAACTTTACACTTCAAATCTTTGTTCGTCTGGTGTTTACAGTTGCCTGCATATCTTGTCTGAAAGAAAGCAAAACCGACCAGATGGTTAATGAATTCAACAAAACCATAGATCCAAATGCTACCTTCAAATGAATTCATAATTTATAGAGAAAAAGGAAGTAGAGTACATTGCAGTGCGTTAATGACAGATTAGTGTTGAAGAAAACAGAAATTCAAAGCCAATGAAGCCCGAGAGATGATGGGATCAGTGATTTATTCTATTTTTTTTATTTCCATTTTCCGACGAAAAGTTCTCTGAAACAGGCCATCTTCTTCCGAGGGACTGAAACAGAGTTACTGCGGCTGCCATTCTTTTCAACGACATTGTTAAGGAGAGGGTCAGTTTCATAAAACTGCACCATAGTATGTTTACCAACATAAATTTCATTTGTATATATTACGTTAATATCAAATGGTAAATCAATCAAGTTAATCCGATTCTTATAACATTAAAACTGAAAAATTAAACTTATGAATGTTATTTAAAAAAAAAATTTGTAGACTACTAAAATCTAGCTCGACTTTACATTAAACATCATTAATTATACCTCTAGTTATCTACCGGCACTCATTTAAAGAATGAAG